GGTGGAGGTGGCAGCGGCGGCGGTGGCGGCAGTGGTGGCAGCGGCGGCGGCACTAGATGTGTGGTAAGGAGGATGCTAACCAGTGTGACTTCCCTTCCAGATGGCTCCGGAGAGGGAGAGAGAGGTGCAGGATTGCACCGGGTAAGGCGCTCAGCTTCTTTTCTTAGAGAGACAAATCCACAGGGTCAATACACAGCCAAAGCATATACTCAGGATTAACATATCACGCTAGCTTCCAGAAGTTTAAGATATAGTCATCACCACCCCCCTCCCCGTACCCCCTCCCCCCCACCCCCCACCCCAATCCATAGCTAAGTCAAACTCCTAAGGACAGTCTGTCTGCTAGAGAGATGTTGACAGGGGAGCCACACGCCCTGCAGCCACAGCCCCTGTGCTGGGCCGGGCTGTGCCAGGCGGGCTCAAGGCCTGCACTAGGTATCCCCAGAGCAGACATTTTCACCAGGTACCGGACCCAAAACAAGTGGGCTGATCCCAGAGGCTTGCTCCCTAGTGGACTGAGCTGCCCTGCCTACCAGTGAGGGGCAGGGCACTTTGGGGATGGCTGGTGTGGAGCTACTGGACCCGGGGTGGGTGGGCGAGGGTTCCGAGGCTGCCAGCCTATTGGGCTGGCTGCAGACAGCCTGCGGAGGGGCTTTTTTCTGCCGACGACCCACCCGGGCACAGGCCCTTGGGGGTGGTTCCTGCCAGGCGAGTGTGAGCCCAGGGTGGTGGGCGGGCACATCTGGACCGAGCGCCCCATGCCTCCCCCCGCCCCCACCCCACTCTGGCTCGGGGCTGTGGCCTGATGCTACTGTCACTGCTCCCTGCAGAGAGAGCAGATGCCAGCAAGAGCTCAGGTCCTGACTCCCGGCGCCCAGCACAGAGCAGGAAGTGAGCCTGCTGTCATCTCTCAGCTCCGGAGAAGAGAGAAAACAGAGAGCTCTGTGGTGGGCATGGTGACCAAGGGCCTTTGCCCTCACAGTGACGCCCAGAGGCCAGAGAAGGGCTGAGAACACCCAGGGCGGCAGCTGGGCCTGCAGCCCTTAGAGAGAGCCTCAATCCAGGGAGTTTTCCCTCCCCAGGAAAGTGATGGGCTCTTGGACCCTGACTGGCCCAGCAGATACACACACTCAGCACAAGATGCAAGGACCACAAAGCTCAAACCTGGGGAGGGGGCTGGGCCTAGGCAGATGCCCTACTTAATCAGGGTTTTTAAGGAGCGGGTGAATGTGCTCATAACAGTCGCCGAAGATGGGGAGCCTGGTGGGTGCCCTGTGGCTGTCCCCGTGGCAGCTGCCACCTGCTGCTGCTGCTGCTGCTGCTGCTGTTGCTGCTGCTGCTGCTGCTGGTTGAGGTTCCGGGCTGTGGACTCCTCAGCCGCGCGCAGCAGGAACGTGTAGTTCCTCACCACTTCTTCCACCTTGGCCAGCAGCTCTTGGCGCTGGGCCTCAGAGCGCACAATGAACACCAGCCGCACAAAGGTCTCGATGAGACTGCTCAGCACCTGGAAGCTGCCTGTGATGGCTGCGAGCATGTGGGTTGGGCTCTTGTCCACGTTGGCCACACGGCGGCAGGAGGCCCGGAGCTCCTTGAACTTGAGAGCTAGCTCGAGCTTGTACTCAGAGATCTGCGAGACATAGGGCTTGGGGGCGCGGGCCTCAGGGCTGGCCACACACTGCCGCAGGACCGTCAGCAGCTCATTGGTGTCCAGCCGGGCAGCCAGGAAGCCGTCGGGGAGGCCATAGGCGTGGGCCCGCAGGGCGTTGATCTTGGCCAGGCTCCCCTCGAAGGTGGACACCCGAAGGTCAATCTCCTGGGTGCGAGCAGCCTCGGGGCTGCTGCAGGTGGCAGCGTCCAGTACCTGCAGGGTCCTGCTCACCACAGGCACCACCTGCTCGTCCAACTTCATGCCGGGCAGAATCTTCATGGGAATGGAGTAGGAGAGCTCGTCTTTGCCGTCACTCGCGTCGTCGGCCATGTCGCACTTGCGGTAGTAGAAGCAGTAGCGGATGGAGCAGCACTTGCTGCTCTCGCTGTCCTCATCCAGCTCGGCTGACTTGCGGTACACCTCCTCTGGCAGTGAGAACACGGCCATCTGTCTGGGGCCTTTGGTCTCAGGGGTAACCTGGACATACGAGGGGTCTCCCAGGGTGGGTGACTCCAGAGGCTTGCTTTTGGGAGGCACACCCAGGGGGAGGCCTGCCTCTATCTCCTTGACCTCCCTGGGCAGCGCGCCTAGCGGTGGGTGCGGGTACACGTCCGAGGTCAGCGAGGCCCTGTCACCCTGGTCCAGCTCACTAATACTGTAGCGGCGCATCAGTTTCCTGTAGTTGGGCGCTCCCAGACACTCGCCCCCTGAGGCACACGTGGTCAGGCATGAAACGCCACTCTCAGGGTCCGATCGACACTCGCGGGATTCTAGGCTGGTGGAGCGGATCCGCCGGACGTTGATGGGGCTGCTGAGGCTCAAGCCCGGTCCAGCCTCCGGCTGCTTCTGGGTCGGGGGGACCCTGTCCCTTTCCCTCCCCCGAAGGCCAGGAGGCACTGGCAACTGGGCGGCCTGTGGCCGGCCACCCCGGCAGATGCGTTTGCAGTCGCAGCTGCGCCTCTGCTCACGGGACATGCCAGGTCCCTGCTGCACGGGGCTGCTGCGTAGCTGGCAACTGCAGCGGCCAGGCGCTGGTGGCTGCAGGTACTCAGTGCCTGGCAGCTCCCCCTGGCTTGGTGGCTTTAGGAGTTCTTCGAGAAACTCAAGCTCATACTGCTTGACCTTCTGCAGCTGGGCCTGCCGCTCGTCCGTCTCCTTCTTCTGGCGGGTTGGGAAGGTGGCAGAGAATAAACTCCGGAGCCGGAAAGGACCTCGGGATGACTTGGGCTTTGTGGGGCCTTCAGAGGCTGAGTGGGCTCCGTCCAGGGTCGTTTCAAGCTT